AATTTTTAAAATGTGGCTACATCTTGGCATAAAAAGGTTTTCAAACATTGGGTGTCCATGTCCAAATCTAAAATGTTTGCTGCTGTGTTTGCATGTTAAACTTTGAGTAGATTAACTTGAAGCATAAGCAAAGTGCCAGCTTCCATTTTGGTGTGTGGCTGCGGCTATTTCTTTTGAAAATTGGGTCGCCGTGTCATAATCCAGTCCAGAAAAACACTAATCTTGAAAAACCACAAGCATCTATTCAAATCCCTCAGCGATGGGGGACATTGGCATACTTCTTCCGTCCATTCATGATCTTTACCTTATCTTTATCTTTTACTTCTTCCTTTTCGGGTCGTGGGGGTCACTGGTGCCCATATCCATCATTCACTGTGTGACAGGTGAAGGACACCCTAGACAGGTCTCCAGTCCATCACAGGGACACATGGAGACAAACAACCATTCACTCTCTCACTCACACCTAGAGACAATTTAGAGTCACCAATCAGTCTGTAGTAGTGCATATACGAGATATATGCATACAATTTTCACGAGTTCCTCATCTTTCTGACTGTGTAATGTCGTGCATTGAATTTTAACAGAAATGCGAACGAGAGACGTTATTATCTTTGACCCATCAAATGAATGCGGTCATTTATTTTCAGAATCAAAGTTAACATCAAACATTTACATTAATTTGGCAAAATATGAAAATAATAACAGACAAGTTTCACAAAATAATGAGCTTCAATCACGCGGCGGTGATTGAGGACTTTGCTTCAGATATTTCTAAATATCTGTACTGATTTTAAGAGAAAGCAGAGTTTAAGATGAAATGGAGATTTATCTTACAGAGAGATATGTGAGGGAATTAATCTGTTATGACCAGAACGTGCACGCTCCATCAGATATCAGCTGGCCTCCGGTACACTTAGTCGAAAATAGAACCTTCTACCTGGTTGACGATGGAATCAGCATCGGAGTAGGTTCCTTTCTGACTCTTTCAGCGTCTCCGTGAGAACTGCCAAACCTTCAGAGAGTCGTACGTGGTGTTCAAACAGAAATTATAATCCCAAAACGTCTCTGGATCATCCTGAACGCGTCTGCATCCAAGAGCTCTAACTCCATCACTCTGTGCGCTCTCTAGTTGAACTCATTTCTGAGTACAGCAACACAGCAACCAACAAACTCCAGCAACTCAGCGTCTCAGCTTCTTGCAACTCCTTCAACTCTACATAAAACTGGGAAGTTGCCACATTTTAAATGGGTCGACTTCCGGGTCATTTGAGAGCTTTTTGATTGGTCGATGGACCAGAAATAGAGGTGTGGTTTGTGATGTAAGATGTTATCATAAGTCAAGGATTGTTTTAGTGACAACAGAAAGATTATTGTAGGACTTCAGACTTCGTGGAGTCTCACACTTATTATCTTCTGAAAAAGTTTAAACATGACATTTTTCTCGGTAAACATTTTAGTTGACCGAAAACCGACCTTTAACATACTTACAAACTTGGCTCATTTCAGACAGAAAATCAAGAAATGCATATTAACCTGATTTCTTCTTTGAATGAGGAATAAAAATCATTACTTACTGTTTATGTAAAATAAAAATGAGTAGTTCTTTTCAACCTGTAAGCATTGAGTGAAACTAACACAATTTGATTATCAAACATTTGTAAAGTAGTAATGATTATAGAGAATTGTCTTTTCTGCTTGATTAATTCAAGAAAGAAAGTCATCAGATGGCTCAGACTGTATTCAGATCAATGAAATAACAGTCTCTGTCCATCTGATAGATTTGAGGTCAGATCAGGTTCAGATCAGGTTCAGATCAGGTTCACTACAAGTCTAACATGCATGTTTTTGGTCTGTGGGAGGAAACGAGTACCTGGAGAAAACCCATGCATGCACGGAGAGAACATGCAAACTCCACCCAGAAAGGCCCCCTGCCGGGATTTGAACCAAGGCGACATTCTAGCTTAGAGGCGGCAGCTCTACCAACTGCGCCACCGTGCTGCGGCATACTTCTTGTTTTGTTTTTTTTCTTTAGCTTTCTTCAACTTATTTTTAAAAACTCCAATTTAATTTGGATTTCTGTTGACATGTAGATTTTCATAAAAACATCTTGTCGCAACGATTTAATCTTTTCTACTTTATTTTACTCGCCCACACGCATCGTAGCTGTCACACCTCCAGGTTTCAACCAGCAGGACTGTATCGACCCATTAGCTGAATGGACGCCGACATGCGGAGCTGTTATTGCTGCCTCTTTCTTTCACATGGATGCCAGCTCATGAAATCCCTCCATCATCAACACCTACCGGCCGCGGACCAAACAAAACACCCTTTCTCACACTTTCCTCGCAGACACTCACACGTGTTCCAATCTAAACGCCGTCACGATTTGAACACGACGGCCAAGACCAGCAGATAAATCAGTCCACTGGATGAACTACAAGCTTCTGAGTGGAGGATTATCAACTGCTGCATAATGTGGGTGGAAAGGTCTGCTTTAGACTTGTGCCCGTGTGGGTGAAGGTTCAAAAAGGGTCATAATGAATTTAATTATAAAGTCAGGCTGTCAGATTCAGTTCTGTATTAGGGAGAATCTCTCTCTGACTCTGAGAATCAGTAAAGCTTTAATTTTAGGTTAAATCTGTTTTCAGATTTATTAGTGTTCCTAGCAAAGGTTGGCATGTTTGAAAAAAAAAAAAAAAATAGCATTCAGTCTTTTAACTAATGCAATAACCTTGTAGCATTTACTTTTCATTACTTTTTTGGTGCCTGTTAAGCAACTTTAAACAGTTTGGACTGACAGCAGCTGCAGAGTCTAATAAATTCAGTCATTTTGAAGCAGTGGGGTTTTGATTTCCTGAAATAAACCAACTATCATTTCCTACCACTCATTACAGTAACCTTACAGGTGCTAGTTTGGCTTTAAAAATAACATTGCAAGTTCAGTTAATTGGTTTTCATTCAACCTTTATTTATACAGCTTAGTCTCATTGAGAGTACTGTAGTACTGTGTATTTAGTGACAGCTGTTCTCTAAAGCCAGTTTGTCAGTGGGCTGCAACTTTGATTAGTAGGTGACTCAAATTATAAGAAAACAGGCAATTTTTTCATTGAAGTTTTATCGAATCATGAGTACATATTTGCGACCAAGTAACCATTGGGGGGGGGGGGGGGGGGTCCTTTGACAGTATTTGAAAATTAAAGCCTATATTTGTGCATGTACAGCTTGCAAAAGTGTGTTCTGGATTGTGAACAGTATTGTGAATGTGTTCCGTCAGGTGAGCTCCAGTGCGCTCTGGAATTTACGGAAACTAAATAGAGAAGGTTTTGAGCGATTACCAACACTCTGCAACTATGTTAAGACAAAACTTGTTTCACTTTTGTTTCTTTTCTTTTAGAACATGTTCAACAAGCTTGCAGGTTTCTGAAACTTATTATAGAACACAGGATAAAATACCTAGACCCACAGAGGTAAAGATAAGAAACGAGATGACTAAAATAATAAAAACACAGTGAAGTTAAAATATACTCACACTGGATCGAAAGCCATGATATTAAAAAGTGTTTTTAAATTAGACTTAAAAACTGTGAGAGAGGGAGCATGCCTGACATGCAGTGGTAACTCATTTCACAGTTTTGAACCTGCAACAGCGAAGAACCTCTGAACTTGTATCGTGTGTGTGTGTGGGTGTGTGAGAGACCAATAAAATTATCTGATTAGCTCACCTCAAAGAGCACTGTAAGACCTATGGCTGCAGCAGATCAGCGAGATAAGAGAGGACAGAACTGTTAAGAGATTTAAAAACATACAAAAGGATTTTAAAATTAATTTGGAAGTGAACCGGGAGCCAGTGAAGGGATGCCAAAACCGGAGATATGTGCTCTCATCTCTTCATCTCATTAAAATCTAAGAAATTTAAAGACATCCAATCCCTGATGTCAACCAGGCAGTCAAGAAGGTTGGATAAAGCGTGCAGCAGAGTGCTACAGAGGAAAGTAAATCTGGCGGTCATCGGCATAAAAATGAAAAAGGGATGATGCAGTGTTTATGAAAAATAGCACCTATTGGCATTATGTATAAAGAAAAGAGAATGGGTCCAAGAATGGGGCCCTGCAGTACCCCACCAAAGACTGGCAGGCATTGAAATAAAATCTTTGATATAGACACAAAAGTTGTCTACCTTCTACACACTAGCAACATATAACAACAATACCCCCATGACTGCCAATGATATGTTCCCTGCACCGCACCACGGCGTTAGTCAGGATTCAGCAATGCACGAGAAGATCACTAGGCCTGAACAAGTCCCGCTTCAAACTCTTTCATGGGCCTTGCATCATAGATATGTTGTCACTATGCTCCTTCACCCACAACTCAATATGCTGCCATTATGATAATGAAACACTGCAACCTCCGTAAGGGAGTTTAATTCATACCTAAAACCTCATAGAGTGATCTCACTCTTTCACAAAGTAGAGAACCCACTTCATTCTCAATACACAGCTGAAAACCAAACAAAACGCTACAAAGATAACGCACGTTCTGGTTAGTTTTTATACGCCCGTCGAAAGGCAGACATATGTTTGGTATAGTCTCCGTTCGTCTGTCAGTATATATGTACATCTGTAAACGTTCTCGTCTCGCCCTTAACTTGTGACCCACTCTAGATAATTTAATTCAACATTTTGTTTTCGTCTTTAGAATAATTAGATGCTGAGAAGCAGGCGAGTGGTTTTAAATTGAGTCTTTTTGCTGCTTAAGGAAATAACTCTTTCTTTTCATCAGACAAAGCTCAAACAGCCGTTAGTGTTGAGCGTACAGGTTTAGTAAACGCACACGTCTGTCTCCTCACAGACAATGAAACTGTTTTGCTCCTGCTCGTCTCTTTCTTTTCATCTCTTTATAAATCTACAAACCTTCACCATGATACCTTTCGTATCAAATGCACTTTTCCTCCCAGCTCATTTACATGTTAGGTGTTTTTTTTGTTTCTTCTCGTCCAGGTTTTGATGCTCTGGGAGAGCTGTTGAAGCCTACACTTCCTGCCCACACCGCCCCACCTTCTGCTGCTGCTCCTCAGATGACCATCCATCCTGGAGGGAAGCTGCTTGCCAACGATCTCGACTCGTCTCTGGCCAACCTCGTGGGCAGTGAGTGTTGATACTCATGAAAGTGTGACACGGTGGAATATCTGTGCAATAGATAGAAGAGCATACATTCAACACCAAGCCTCCATCATTCATTTGACTTTTGAACACCACGATGTGCACGGTTATTATAAGGCAGGAAACTAAAAGCTGTTTATTTATTTTTTTGCCTTTTTAAGTCTAGTGTAACAATTTAATAAAATTAATTTTCAAGGTTTACATCTTTTTTGTAAATTATTTTGTTTAAATATATCTGTTGCAAAAAAGAGTAATAAGAAACTGAAGTAACCTCTTTGTGCCTGTTATTTTATTTTACTTTCTCTCATCACTGATCTATCATGTCTGTTTCTTCTTTTCTTCAGATCTGCAGTTTGGAACCTCAGCCAAGAAGTAAGTTTCTGAACGTGTGACGATAACGTTTTCAAGGTTCAGCTCTTGGTTTAAGATTTAGACATTAATAAAAGTAAGCTGTCTTTGCGGTGTAGAAACCTGGGCAAAAGAGAGTTTTAACTCTTAAACACTATAAATGCGAAGTGATCAAGTGGATTTGTAGGTACTAAGATTTATAAAAAACGTTTTTTGTTTTTTTTTTAATGCTAAAATCAGTGAAGACCTCAAGTTCATGTTGGAACAGAGAGATGGATGGTTGTTCAATTCAATAAATCTGAGAAATTTCTTTGTTGCATCAAAGGACAAAAAACAATACAAAGGATGCTATTAAAACGGTGTAAAAATGATTAAAACTGTATAGCAAATACGATTGCTCAATCAATAATACTGTGCAAAAATCTGAAAACCAAAAAATGGCTTAAACTGCTAAATCTGATTTAAGCTGTGCCAAGCACATGTAACCTTCACAGCAGTCGGAGGTGACAAATTATACTGTACAGTGCGTTGGCCAGTGGCAGGAATGACTCGCTGTAATGTTGCTACGACAGCGGAGCTTTAGTAGTCTGTTAGCAAAGTGGCTCTGCTGTTGATCCAGTGAGGAGGAGAGGATGTTAGCTTGTCCTTTATGACGAGCATCCTTTTCTCCATCACCACTTCAAGCTGGTCCAGTCTGCAGCCAATACTGAAGCCAGCCTTCAACATAAGTTTTTGTAAAGTCGAAAACTCTCAGGAACCTTTCGTTGTGGTGTTCTTCTCGTCCTTCTCAGGCCTGAGATGCAGTGGAGTCAACCTGGAGAGAAGAAGCTAACTGGTGGCCATAACTGGCAAAATAAGACCATGTCGGCCACACAGTGGAGCCCGGCGCCTATGGCCCCACAGCCCATCCCTGTACCACATGTGGTGAGGAGACATCAACACACTGTGGACACGCTCACATACACAAAAACACACGTGCTCGAAAAGGTCCAGCAAGGTGTCTGCAAGTCCTGAAAGGCAATGATAATTCTTGTTTTTATGTAAGGACAGCTCTAAAATTGAACCTGTTTGCATTAGGGAAGTATAAAATGAAACTGCAGCTTTATTGTTGTTGTTGTTTCTTCTTCTTTTGGCTGCTCCCAGGGGTTGCCACAAAGCAAACTCGCATGAAAGATTTGAAAATTGTTTCACGCCAGATGCCCTTCCTGACATAACCTGGACTTGAACAGGCAATGTCAGAACCACGTCAGTGGCATTGACCATCAAGCTACTGCAGCGCATACTGCACCAATATAAAAACATTCAGTCTGTTCCCTTACTGTCGTACAACTCATCTATTCTTACCTCGTTTCAAAAACTCTGCACAATTCTCCTTCTAATCCCCTTCAGCTTCTCCGACAATGATTCAAGGAACTTTGTTGTCATTCACATCACATTCACATCAAATGTTCATGGGATGAGACTTGTTACCCAGGTGAAACTCAGCAGGAAGCCTTACAGCTTCAGGATAGAAGCTGTTCCTCAGCTTGCTGGTTCTGCTCCTAATGCTCCACAACCTTCTGCCTGAGGTAGCTCATCACAGTCTTTGTGATGGTGACATCCTCTACACATTTCTCCACATACACCAGAGCAAGTGATGTGCACTCCTGTACGTTCACCCCATCCCCACAAACAGCTGCTTTCCTAAACATCTGCCAGTCTGTGTGCTGGGAGCAGGTCTGCAGCATGGAGATGGCATCAATGGGCCACAAGTGATGGTCCTCTGTGTGGGTCTTGTATGTTTCAGCAGGGGGAGTTATGCAGGGGTCAGGATGATGGAGATGTGGTTGGAGAGGCCCAGTTGGGGGTGGGGGGTCAGCTTTGTTTGCATCTCTGGTGTTTGTGTACATATGGTCCAATGTGTTATTTCCCCTAGTAGGACAGGTGATGTGTTGGTAAAACTTGGGCAAAATGGTTGTCAGTTTTATCAGGTCAAATCCCTCCGTCACCACAAAAACAGCCTCCAGATACTTGTCCTGGAGCTCGCTGATGGTACTGAAGAGCTCTCCGAGATCATCGCTAACTCTAGCATCCAGCGAAATGTAAACCGCTGTAACAAACACTGCTGTAAATTCTCGAGGCGAATAGTGTGGCCGACATTTGACAGTAAGGTGTTCTATTGCCTCAGAGCAGGTACTGATGAGCTCTCAGTCCACCGTGTGCTCTACAGACCAGATATTGACCAGGAACAGGGATGGGATTGACGGCTTGCAGTTAAAACTAGCGATAGCTCATAGCCTAGCCCACACGCCGCCCCACTTTTCTTTATGCGTACACCGCTTTCGCTTGGTCCGCTGTCCTCTGCTGCTCCACACTTGGACCCTCAGAAGCCAGTTTTCCCAGCAGTGCCCTCAGTCCAAAGTTGAGTTCTGTTGCTGTTGTGGCCGGTCCTACACTTATTTTGACAAGTTCAGACTGTCTAACTTACTATCGTAGTAACTTGTAAAGCAGGGTGTGTAGTGTAGATGGACAGACGCACCGATTGGCTAGAATCCAATGGTTTTCAACATGCTTGACAGTCAAACAAGTACTTTCAAAACTCAGGGATTTTCTAATCACTTCATCATATCTTAAACAATCTTTGGTGTGAGCATTTTTTTACTGGAGCCATTTTTCATTTCTGGGATGTTTAAGGTCAGAGGAAGCACAAAAGGTATAAAAGGTAGTCAGAGGAAACCATATTTCACAGAGCTCAGTCTGCTGTTTATATGACTGATGGTTGTTATTTAACTACTTCAGCAGACAACAGGAGGATAATGGGAAGGATTATCTGTTTTAAACCTTTCTTTCAACCTCTGTCATGGAATATAGAAATGTAGGAAAACTGAACCAAGGTTTTCTAAAAACACACACAGATGCAGTTGCAGTACTAAGTGCACTTGTCTTAGTTTTACTAAACCTGTAAAATCCTGTTATTGTAGACATCTCTGTATCACAAACAGGTGGTGTAACCTCACCTCTGCTCCGATGTACAGTTCACGACACAAGAGCTGATAACTTAAAGTGGAAAGTTACAGAAAAAGATTGAATCACTTAAATTTTATCTAACATTAAGTCAGAATAATATTTTTTTCCTCGTATTACTTTGAAGGCAGCTGTAGTAGATTATAAACAGTTCCTGTAGAAAAGAGGTTTTCCTCCGGTATGGTATATTGTATTTTTTCTTTGTGCACGCCTGAAAGTAAACCCATTAAGGAGCTAATTATAGATCGGGATTTATTTGAACAAAATGTTCTGTCTAATAATTGAGTGCATTTGTTATTAGAAGTTGAAATCAGCAGGTCAGAGCTAATGAACAGTTCTTGTTTTGAAGAATAATTTCTACATTTTACCTGAGTTGAGGTTTAACATTATTTAGTGTATCAACCGCCTGTCTGATCATGTTGATATTACTAGATTAAAAAACAAACTTCTACCCAAAAACTTAACTTCTTTAAAGAATATATCTTACAACAAATATTGTTATATATATATATATATATATATATAGGCATTTTAAACTGTTCTCACACACTTGCAATATTCTAAACAATGTTTCTAAACTCTCTAAAAGAGTACAGAATGTTGTGATTTCAGCTCCCTGCCTCCGCTGCTCTCAGCTACTAGCAAGAGAGCTTGGCCACGCCCACTTCTTCTCTGCACGGAGGTCAGCTGCAGGAGGAAGTTTATCCTGCAGCATGGGCTGCACACAGGTGCGGCAGGTGCTAAATAATTTTAAATAATTTATTTTAAATAAAAATTTCATGCCGATGGTGCGGCTCATCCATCAATCAGCCAATTGTGTGTCATGTCCAGTCTTATTTTGAAAAACCGTGATAGAGCGAGTCTGCGAAAAACGAACTGCAAAGTAGCGGGGAACTACTGCATTGGATGTTTGAGGAAAAAACACGTTTATTTGCCTTCATACGTAGAGGAAGACGAGAAAGTTTAAGTGATATCATCTGTTAATTAAGTCTGTCTGTCCATTTGGCTCATCACCATGACTGTAAATCATTTTCTGGTCCTACAGGAAGCAAATCATCCTGCCTGCAGCTCCAAACGTTTACACATCACTACGCTGTTCTGTAGCTTCAGCCGTTTGGCTTTTCAATTTGTTTGGAACAGAAAGAACAGTCAGTTTTCAGTTTTATGTGATTTTATGAGACTTTGTCTGGTTCTTCTGCTGGATAAGCAGCTGGCCTTGTTCTGCTCAAAGCTAACAAAATCTAAAATAACTGAATCCACAGAGCGAACCATCTCCTCTGAAACAAACCACCTCTGAAACAAACCACCTCTGAAACAAACCACCTCTGAAACAAACCACCTCTGAAACGATGTTTAGTTAAAGCTGAGTTTTGTTTTTGAAGCAGGACAATGATTTTCTGGACAGAGTGGCTGATGGGAACTTGCAGACACCTTGCCTTGACTTAATGGAACTGAACGCTCCTCCTGTTTGTGCATGCTGCTTGTTGTTGTTTACAGATGGAGCTCGTGGTGTGTGTTTGTACATTAATGTATCTGTCTAAATGCTGTGTGTGCATGAAGAGTGATTCCTGACTCCTCCTGAACTCTGCAGTTTGTGGCTGACCAAGACAATCTGTCACTAACCCTCCACTTCCTGTCTCTCTCTCTCTCTGTTGATCCTTCTTTTCTTTTTGTCCTTTTCACCTAATCTCTTTCCTGCTGTTTTGCCCAATCACCACTCATCTTCCTCCCCATGTTGTTCACTCTATTTTTTTGCGTTGTCATCTGCTTGTCCTGTTTTTGCCTCACTACCTGTGACCTGTTGGTCATGTGACCCCAACCCTCTTCCCTTTTTATTGTTTATATGCTAACGTTGTTTTACGCCGCTTATTGTTGTTACCTTTCTTTGCTCTTTTGTCACTGGTTTTCTTTTTTTGTGTTTTTCCTCATCTCTACTTTCCCATTGCCACATTTTTTTTTTTCAATCATTCTTTCTCATTTCCTGGGTTCCAACTTGTTCTTTATCCTCTGTCTCCTTGTCTCTCTCTGTCTCCTTGTCTCTCTGTCTCCTGTCCCTTTTCCCTGTTGCGTCCCGATGCAGAATGGAATGTTCTATACTAGTTATGTAAGTACTTATCTCTGTTAAGTATGAGTCGTAACGAGCTGCTCAGGGCTCTGCTTATCTTCCTCTTCATCATTTCCTCTGTCCCCTCCTGGTTTGTTTTCTTGTGTTCCTTTGAAGCACATGTTGAAGAAAAGTTGGGCTGTTTCCACAAATAACTTGATCTGTGAGTTTGTAGCGTGCACCAACTCAATGATGCCAGGAGGTTTATCTTCTTCTGTACTTTTCATTAGGTTTTAATATTTTTATCTTTTGAACAAATTCATCAAACCAAAATTAGGCCTGTTGCGCTAAACAATAAATCAATTAATTGCATGACAAATTAAAATTATCGACGTCATTTTCATTTTTCAACTTTATCGTTTCTTCGTGTCTCTCTCTTTCTACTGAAGACACTGGATGACAAAAAGCTCAACTCCGGTGCTCTTCACTGACCCCTCCCTTTCGCTTTTATCTTTAAAATATGTTTTAAATGTCCAAAATCGCATGTTTGGATTGTTAAAAGCAGCTAAGCAGAAAAGCTAAGATACGAGCTACGCTAGCAGGCCGACATCGGTAAAAAACCTCAGTTTTGTCGAAGCTCCAAAATTCACGATGGAAACCCGTGCCTTGATGTAAAAAGTTTTTTCTTCAAAAGAAGCTGAGAACTTGTTTACTGGGTTTTTTTTTTTAATTAAAAGCTTTGTGTGAAAAATGCTATGCTAAAGAGCTCAAACCAAACTGAGCGTCTGCCATTTTGAGAACCAAAAAAATGGAAGGAGAGACAGCCCACATCGAAGGGCCTCCCTCCCATTTTCTTAGAAACACGCTGCTCACTCCC